AACAGACTAAACAGAAGTGAAATAGGGAGTTGTGCATTTGCCTTTTGCGAAGCAGAGAGAGAGGCAAAACCATAAACAAGAGGTATAAACTGTCTAAATTAAATTGGAAACAATAAAAATGGGAGAATCCACTTTTCATAATACTGAGTGTCAACAATAGCATATATAAGGATGTTTATTTAAAGAAATGCACACAAATATTTTTTAACCTCGCAGGATTCCTCTTAACATCAGTTTGAGATAATTTACCATCGATGACTAAGGTACGACCCACTCATGAGGGGACAGGCTTTGGGAAGCAGGGAGATGTATACTTAGAGCCAGATGCTGTAATCCGATGTATGTTCGTAGACCCTTATGTAGTTTGTTGGAGCTATGCATATTCCCAAGGGTCTGCCCACACAGGTCACATTGCAGGATTGGGGCTGGGGTGGTATATGAATAATAAAATGTCCTGGAAGGCCCCTAAAAAACTGCTTGGGTATATTAAAAGAAGTAGTACTGAAAACTGGAAGCCCGATTTATTATATGGCTGTGTTCTGCTGGAACATTTGATCTTGCTGTATTTAATTCAGGAAGTCTTAATGGTATGTGCTCAGCGCATGACTGTAATGTCCATTAATGCTAGTGGAACATAAGCATACACAGAAGGGGGAAAAAAAGCTGTGTCTTCCACGCAGCTGAAATGTTGAGTTAATTTCAGTGATAGGAAGCAACAAAACACAAGAGAAAATCATTAGAACAGTTCAAAAGGCTGTTTGAAGGAGGAAAGCCATCAGGCAAAATGCCACCATATTTCATGGCATGACAGACACTAATCGCCACCCTCCGGCACGCTGGAGCAGGTGAAGGGCTGAGTGGTGAGGAGTAATGGTCTGCTAACTTGCGTCCGTCTGTCTAGACGTATCTTGTTGCTAGTTGTCTTGCGATTGCTTAGATGGAAGAAAATGGCACATGCCTGCGTTATGAACCACAGATTTGAAAGGGTCAATTGAAATTGGAATTTATATGCGAGGTGAGATGCTTAATGTCTTCATTATCAGGTCAACACCCAGAAAATACTTTCTGTTCACTTCATTTGTACAGAGGAGGACTCCAGAGCTGAACTCTGAAATGCCCGTAGTCTGTGAGTGAATAGTAAATGGCAGGGTTCATTGCGTTGCTTTTAGAAAAGCCATTCCTAAGTGCAGGAACACCATGAAGGCTCCAACCGGGTTTCTGTTGGTGTTTGTTTCACCCTCCTCAGCTTTTTTTTTTACGTTTATGCATTAGGGTTTGTGAGCCTGGCCTTTCCTTCATGAAGCCTTCTATCCCACTCCAGGATCTTAACAGCTTTTAGGACTGCTGTAACTGTTGGCAAAAGGCTGACGGCAGGCGGCCTCAAGGGGAACAGTTGTCTGCGTGCTGCTCTTCTAATGAGCGCCGACCCCAACGAAGGCACTGCGGTGTGCTGATTAGAGAGATTTAATTTGGCCTCCGATCCCACAGTGGAATGTAAAGGGGATTTTGTCTGCCCTTGTAGGCTGGCGTTCACCTCTCCTAACAGTGAGGTCTAACTGCAGTTAGGTACATAGCTGTCCTGGGCTCTGCTGAAAGTCATTGCTGAGAGCATCACCGCCAAAGAACAAGTGAGATCCAACCCAGAGTCTTAATATAGATCTAATGAATCCAGACTCTTGTTACCCTCACGGTGTATTTACGTCAGTCTCACCTTTAATGTAATCGCACTGATGTCATGCTATTTGTAAAACTGATGACCTTTTGTCTCTCCTGCCTTGAACTGTATAATTTGCAAATGAACTGTGAGCCTGCCTTCATGCCTGAGTTGCCAAAGAAGTTTGTTGCCTGTATGGGATCACTTTCCACAGCCCATAGCTGGTCCCTTCTTTGGGGAACTAGGCTGAGGAAGGTGCTCAGCCTGCACTTTTATTGTCTGCTTTAATAATGAGTTTGATAACAGCTGCATTACTAGTAATGGCTTCTCTCATATTGGATATGTATTTGTGTAGCTTTATGTTGTCCCCTCCCAAGACACAGAGAATATAGATACAGGCTTGAATGTAGCAGACATCTCATCTATGCCAGAAAGGAACAGTTAAAAAAATGGAAGCAGCCACTCCTGTACTGCAAGTTGAGCACTTTTGTCCCTCTTGCATGTTACTTTTTTCCTAGCTGAAGGACTGTATTCCTAGAATCTCATCCAGTAATTTTTAGGATTCATTGCATTTTATCAAGGCTTGTAGGCTAGCCCTGGTTCAGGTAACGTATCCTTACATCCTCTACAGACAGGGGCGAGTCTTGTTTTACCTCCCTGGCTCTTTGGCAATATGGAAATAATGCGATCAATTTACTGAGCTATTTTTTTGTTGCTAGCGGTTAAATAATAAGTGCAATTAATTGAATAGGGCTGTTCTTGAATGCTGGGGGCTGGATGAAGAGATTTCCTTCATGAGTTGTAGTGCAACTATAACTTTTTGCTCCATGAAATGACAAACCTGGACAGTTCTTTGTCCAGGTAGGTTGCAGTTTACCCCAGTACAGTTTAGCAAAATTGCCCTGTAGACATAAATACTTGTCTGTATTGTAAAACACTCAGTTAATTGTTAAAAAAATGGGGAAAAAAATCTTTTATAACACTCTCCCTACTTCTGATCTGTGTTGTGGATCAAGTGGCATATAGAAATTTTCGTGTGCATATAGTGAGCCCATTGATTGAAGAACACTAAATTTCTAAAATAGATGAAAAATTATTCAAGGAGAGTAAAGAGACAATGCTGACCGTTCTTTAAAACATTCAGTATTTCCTCTGACTTCTTCCAAAGTGAAGTCATGCGTAGTTTGCTTTTTTGCAACATCTGAAAAGCAAATAGAATTTTTTTTTAAAATGATCGGTAGGTATTTTTAAAAGTGAAGAGGTGTGGCTTTGTAAGATTCTCTGCTGCTCTCTAGACTACTTTTTAATACTGAAATGATAGATGAAAGACTGTCTCTCAAACAGTTTCTTTCTGAGCTGCATAAGGCAACATAACAATAGCTATTTATATAATGCATATGCTTCCTTTCCCTGTTGGCTATACTTTGAAAGACTTATTAGTCCTAGAGCCCTTCACGTTCGGAGAATAAAAACCTCCAACGTTTGACATCTTTAAATAAGCAACCAAATGTTATAAAGAACAAACCTCACTTACAGTTAGGAAACAATATTTACATTTAAGGTTGAAAAGCCAGGATGTAGGAAAATTTTGCTAATTTGGAAGGTGACCTTTAAGTGCACCAAAACCAAATAATTTGTAAGCTATGGCACAGGGCACATTCCTGCAAAATTTGTGTGAATACTGCTTTAGTGGTTCTTGAAAGACAAACAAAGAGACCTGGAATGAAATCTTTATCCCTCTCCCAAATAAGATTGAAGCTAACAAAGGCATACAGCAGTGCTCTTTCAAAGCTTGCCATTAAAACGAAGGCTCTGCAGCACAGCTAATGAGATAGCTCAGAGTGGAAAACAATCTGTTTTTAAGAATGTTTAGATCAAAAGTAATTTCTAATCTATGAAATAAAGTCGCTTTTCAATACCTTTCTTTCACTAGTAAAGCTTTTTATGTTTGCACTATTTACTTCAATCAGATGTTTTCAATTTTACTTTTTTCTTCCTGAAAATACTTCCTAGGGTTAGTCGGTAGTGACCAACAGCATTATTCTTTTTCTCTCTCCCCTATTCACCCACCCCCACACATTAAAAAAATGAGAAAAGAAGAGGGGGAGGAAGAAAGAAACATCTTTTCTTAAATGATTTGCAAGCATCTGTGCTTTAAGCTACTTTTTATGAACACTCCTTAGTAATGACTCAAGGTAAAAAAGCAGAAAAGCATCCAATGTTAGGAAATTGCAATCCAATACCATGTAATTTAAACCTGCCATTGCCTCTCCTGTACTAAATGACATACAGATGGGTAGCTCTGTTCCCTCTACTTTGGGAACACAATTGGTCTTTTTATGAGTGTATATACATTACGAGCAAAAAATATTTTTGTTGGGACTGTTTATTTCTAATTGTACCATATTTTAATTACTGTCATAATTAGAGTGCTTTTTCCCTGCCATATTTTGTCAGCTGATTTTTGCGAGCAATTATCAAAGTTATTTGCATATTTGGCAAATTCTGTTATTACTTTGGGAGTTTCCATTCTCAAAAGTAACCTTGCTGTTATTTTTTTCTTTCCTGATGTGAATTTTTGCAGTATACAAATGTTTTATTTACAGTAATTCTTATGTACTCCTTGGATTTTCTGTGTGAATGAAGCAAAGCATAAGACAAGATTTTCAAAGGAGGGTAATTTCAATAGCAGCCCTAATTTTTACGACAAGTTTATTGTTGAATCTTGTACGGCTTTGTGCATAAAGAAATTACTTGCTCCTCAGGGCTCCTATTCTAGTGCTTTGACAGTGAAAAAATGCAATGGTTAATGCTATAAAGTAAAAGGACAAGGATGCGACTAGAAGTTGAATCAACCTTATTGGCATTATAAAGATGTAGAATTGTTTTTCAGCTACTTTAAAGGGTAATGAAATTGCTGGATGTTGTGGCTGAACATCATATGCCCATTACCGTAAGTCTCCAATATAGATGTCTTGTAAAGAACGTTTCAACTGTAGTTGTGTTTTTTGCAGATTTTTTTTTTTTTATAACGGTGGGAAAAATGTTACTGTCTTGTGAATGATTGTGTGCGCAACAGTTTAGTGTATAACACACCAAAGGGCTTTGGCTGTAGCACATTGTCACTGCTCCAGTGGAATCACCTGGCTCTCAAGCAAAATTCTTTTTTAAACTTGGATTTGAAGAAATAATCAGCTGCAGTTCAGCTGAGCCATTCTTCGTGCATTAGGGACCGGTCTGGTCATTGACAAGTGAATGCAGAAGCTATGCTGTGGCCGTCTGCCAAAGCAATTATTCAGGATTTAAGCTAAAAAGGCTCCTTCTCCCATATCCTCTCCCTTTGCAGGGTCATGTAGGGATAAAAAGGACTGTAAGGTGGTCTTTTCCCAGGAGGAGCTGAGGAAGCGGCTGACACCCTTGCAGTACCATGTCACTCAGGAGAAGGGGACTGAAAGGTAAGGCAGGACGAAGGAAATGCAGTCCTCAAAACACAGGCATCTTTCTTTTCTCCTCTTACTGGTGATTCCTCACCTTCCCCACCAAGTTGGCATATTTATTTCCCCCCAGGATTTCTGCACTTGTTTACTAACCCCTACAAATTAACACCACTGCAATGACAAGCATCTGCAGCACCGGGGCCGAGGCCACGGGTTTTGTGTGACTTTTTCTTTTAATGAACACTGCATGTCTTATAAAGTCACCAGGCTCATGTTTAGAGTCTGTTTTTAGTTTACTACAAAATGTGTGGAAGTAATAGCGGTTTAGGTACACTTTTTTTGGAAGGCATCGCAGTAAGCAGAACCACGAGGGAAATGGCCCCGTGCCAGGAGGCTGGAGTTTTGAAGGTGGCCATTGTAAGTATAGACGTTTTGGCTGCAGAAAGAAGGTAGCATAATTTAGTTCTTTTCCACCCCACTCCAATTTCTTTTTGAAGCACATGTGGAGAAGGTATTTATTGGCTCATTTGTGGTTGGAATGTCAAAAATTTTCAATAACTGCCCTCACATGGCTTTAGTCGCTGGAAGCTAGCCCCGAGTCCTGGAGGGGGAAAAAAAAAAAAGGACTCGCTTCCAAGACTGTTTTTAGTGAATAAAGTCTCTCTCTCAGCTGATTCCAGCATGAAGGTAACTTGCCAAGGCCTAGCCATTTTTTTGTTGTCTAATTTATACCATTGAGCTTGGCACAAGGCCCTGGCTTTACCTCTTGCTCCGAACGTACTAATGATGTAACTGCTTGTTTTCATTCATGACCTGAAAGGGCTCTCCGCCGCACGTGGGGTCCCGGTGAATCGGCAGCACTCTTCCCGACGGCGTGTACTGGTGGCTGGAGTTGCTGAGGGGGGACGGTCCCCTTCCCCTTCTCCGCCCCAGCCCCCCCCGTCCTCCCG